CCATGAGCTATCTGGACATGATTTGTCAGATGACGCCCGATGTGGTAGCACTGCGAAAACTTTGAACACTCGTATCCGCTCATGCTGAAATCGCACAAACGACGACAAATCTCACCAATCGCCGAAACACCCGGAAGCAGTTCCTGGCTCGCAAAACATGTCCAAATATCCGCACTGCACTACAAGTTTCATAAAAAAAATATTCGCGTGCACATGGAAGTATGGAAGGATAGCACCATCGAGACCCCGATCAGCCACCGTTACCGGCGTTACCCTCAACTTGGAAACTGAAAACGCGAGACGAAACCGACGCCGCCAACCAACACAAACAAAGAGGACGGAGCATTCTGCTTACCTTCGAATCTCTGGGCGAAGTCTCCAAGGTTTTGCTTTCTCAACCAATATGACACGTCCTGGAGCTTCCATCTACACAGATCTCTATGTTCTCGCACCGTGAGGGCGTGACCCCATCCACTGAATGCCGCCGACAGAACCAGGTCGAAACAGTAAACAGTGAACCCCGAATTGTTGGCCGCCGTTACCTTCGCCCTTACAGAATCTCACACAGGCAAACGACGCGGCGCAGCGGCACCACCGGCACTCCTTCGCGCGCAACTGCTTCTTCTAAAACAAAAAAACAAAAAAAAACTTTATGAAGAACTTTTTTTCAGGCAAACGTTCTTCATCGCCCGATCGCCTTTCTGCTGCGCCAGGGGGCGACACTGTTTGAGCGAAAACAGTTCTTCACGACGAAAAAGAGTTCTTAGGGCGGCGAAGAACCTTTCAAGAACGGATTTTTTTTTAGAGTGTAACCCCGATTGAGCAGTTGGAAACTCTCTAATAAAGGCTCTCAACGCGTGGTTATGGGCGGGAGCGTCATCACATGGCGATCGATCGATTACTGGTTGTTCCAACGAGCACGGAGCTTCGACTGGCTTGTTAACTGAAGAGTAAATGCAGGATACAAAACAAATCTTACCTGCGTGCGTTAGTTGTTTTTAACTTAATTATTAATGCTTTAGTTGCCACCCAAGCGCTCTCAACTCTTCCACCGTCTTCCGAGTCTGTCTTTTTCGTTTTCAATGAACCAATTGGCACAAATCTCCACTTTATCGCAAATTTTGGTTTTGGCCGTCTACGGCGAAATCGCAACTATACTCCGCGACAACTTTTCTTGGCAATGCAGTGCAAGGTACAGGCCCGCGCCCCCTCTCCCATTTTGAGTGTACGCGAGCTCTCCTTCTCTCCCCGGAAAGGGGGGAGGAGGAGAGCCCGCGCATACTCAAAATGGGAGAGGGGACGCGGGACGTACCTTCCACTGCATTGCCAAGAAAAGTTGTCGCGGAGTATAGCTGGAGAGGAATGGCGGTACCTGGAGAGGTACCTCAGAACCGACATGACGATGTCTCGTTGGTTCTGCGGTACGCGGTTCGACAGGCAGCTGACCTCGCGAAGCTATCAATTTCAGAAAAAGAAGTAAGGCAAGCTGCTTCTCTTTTAGGCACTTGCATGTGTATGTAGGAAACATCAGTGTATATTCATAAAACTAACGGCTAAAAAGGGAGTTCCACGTGCTGCGTACATGAAGAAAGAGTGCGTTCGGTGCTTGCCACTCACTGTTGCCGCAAGGCGTGGAGATGGCTGCATCCTTATATTTTTTTTCTTCGTCGCGAAAATTAAAGTTGATATTATACTTAAGTTGCGGAAGTCAATTCTCTAGCAACGTAAGACTAAGCGGCGTGAGTTTCATACGCTGTACTGCCGTTTGTAAGCGGGTTCTCCCGGATTTCTCTACTACGCCCAAGAGTTTGCGCGCTGGGGTCTTCAGCTATATCGCTAGGTTTATTGCAACGCGAACGTACAACCATAGCCTCCTCTATCCTGACAAAAGCGTGGCAGGTCACCACAAGACGCGGCCGCCGAAAGTGAAAAGGTAGAGCGACAGGAAACGAATTGGAGAAGATGCGTGTAACGGGCGCCAATCTGCGGCGGGGTGCCGAGACACACTTCTCCCCAGCAATGGAATATCAGCTCGTGATCCTTGCGTCACATGCGCCACCGCTTCTTTTCTCGTCGGGTTTGAAAACCATGTTTCGGGTCCTCGCCGCTGCGTACGCTGTGAGCTGAATAACAGAAATGCTCTGTGCTACCAGATGTTCGCGCTCCAAATCTTTGACCGGGCACACTACGGCTCCGTCGTCTAACTGCCAGGCTTTGTGAGTATAGAGGAGGCTATGGTGCATTGGACGCTCCTAGGTGTCGCGTGGTGTCGAGCGTTCATTCTACGCTCAGGAGACTTTACTTTCTGGGGCAATAGCTAACATTTGGCGCTTTTATGTTGTGGAACAGCGCAGAACAGCAGAACTTGATTGATTGCAATAGATAACAGCACACCTTGAGTTCCAACACCCCTTTGACCTCTGCTTTACTTTGGTTTTATTGTGCTACTTTGTTTCTGTTCGATTTTAGCATAAACTCGTGCGGCAAAGTGAAGACCTCCCGGTTGTTTTTGGGTACATAAAAATAAAGATTATCATTATTAAACTTTATTATATAGTTTAGACACAGGAACACAAATATACAAACACAAAGGATCCACTCGAGGTTCACAGGAATAGCTAAAGCGAAAAAAAAGGAAAAAACGAGGTAAACAGTTTTAATCACAACTTGTCACAACGATGGAAAGACAAGGGAGAACCAAAGCGCCATGGGTACGTTATAGCCCAGTTTTGCTTGACTAATAGCTAACCTGCTGGCCGCCTCCTAAAGTGCACCTCGTGGTGTCTTCAATATCGGTTTTAGCGGAGTCACGCTGTACCACTTTAACCTAATAGAGCGACCGTTGTCATATTTTGCACTACTACAGCGATACACCTATTTAACTTTGTTTGATATTGGACCGGAATCGCCCTTTAGGCTGTCAGTGACTACAGTGAAATTAACGAGCGAGCGAGAGCAAGCCATTGTAAGCTGCCCTGTATATGTAGATGTTTTATTGAATCTTTGCTTCAAATAAACAAAAACTCTTCCATCATAAAAAAAAAAGAATGTTCGCTTCATATATCACCCAGCAGTTTAGCTCTGTTGCATCAACTATTTTTAAACAAATTATAAGAACACTTTTACGTGGCAATACAAAAACGATGCAACTGAACGAAGTTTCGTGTGACCCAGACGGAAACACTCCAACTGTAACAAGGTTACGTGAGCCAACGGAAGTCTGCAGTACAGTTCAGTGCAGTCCTGGTCCCATTCTAGGACCAGTATTGTTTCTTGTTTTTATTATTGTACATATCTTGCATTTTGCGGACATGGTATTATTTGCAGACGACTCCAATGTTTTCTTCTCCCACAATGACCTCAGACATCTCGGAAGTGTATCAAAGGATTGGTTAAACAAACTATCCACGTGGCTAGTGACAAACCAGATTGAATTGAATATTTCTAAAACTAAATATATTATTTTCAGGGCAAAAAACAAGGCACTTAATTATGAAATCGATGTAAAATTTAATTCAAACAAATTAGCGAAGGTTGAATCTATAAAGCTCTTGGGTGTATGGTTTCACCAAAATTTGTACTGGACAATTCATGTATCTAAACTATGTTTGACTCTCTCACGTTCAATCGGCATATTACATAAACTAAGTCTTTTACTACCAACATGGCTTAAGCGCCAACTATACAGTGCACTTGTGCACTCTCACCTACATTAGTGTTCATTGGTTTGGGGAACGACATCAAAAAGCAACCTTGAAAAACCTTTTAGTACTAAAAAAAAAGGAATTCGTTCCATTGCATGCTTGTGTTATAATGATCACACGTACTTTTATTTTAAGAAGTATAATTTATTCACTATCCAACAGCTAATATTTTTCAACTTCGCGAAAGTAATCTTCAGTTCTCTTAAAAGAAACACTGAGTCCTTTGTTACTCAATTTCCGTTAAGAGACACCCAATACAACTTGAGACGTGTGGAATATGATAGAGGCCAAATACGTACTAATTATGGAGAACCAACATTGATGCAGCAATTAACACAACTTTTAAATATGCATCCACAAACTCTTGATATAGCAACTCAATCAAGGTCTGCAAATACATTTAAAAAACTAATAAAGGATTATATTTTCAAGCATCTATAAAGTCATGTGAAACAATTCTGCCAGACATTTCATTGCGTTAGAAATGTACATATTTCTTGTTATTTTGTTATGTTCTTTTATTTTATTTGTATATATTCTGTGTGTTCGTTGTAAGAGCTGCGCCACTCTGAAACCTGTATGGGGTACGGGACCTGAGTCAGGTGTTTTAATACACCTTTTGTCCCTGCCACCCCAAAACAAAATGGCAAATAAATACAAAAAAATACTAATACAAATGTGTCTCTTGTTGAACATTTAGAATATAATCATACAAAACTTTGACGTTTTGATTTTAGTTTCCTCGGAATCTGAAATGAGATAAAAATGCATTAAAACAAAAGTAGTCTACACCAAAGGAAATAAAAGACGAGAGTGGAAGTTTCCATAGGTCACGCGTTTAGAAAATTATGCTATGGCTTTTCTCCAGACGAAACAAGAGTCGCCATTAAAAAAGACTAGCAGTATAACAGATGCCATCGCTTAGTTTGCATGACGGGCCACGGATAGCCGATTGAACTTCGCATCTGCGGCAAATATTTTCGAATTTTATTAATGGGTTGTATATAATCATATTTACTTGGCCAGACAAAGAACACGGCCGATAGCGTTATCTACAAGACACCGTTTATTTATATCAAAGTAATTTTTAATAAGTAGTTAATAAAAATGCAAACAATAATTTTGATGAAGATTTCTATCACTCTCTGCGACAACAGTGCAGTTTTTAAGATGACTGAATCCAGGATTATTTTTCCGAAAATTCTGCTTGCAAAGTTATCTACATGGACAAAATGAAACGCGCTACAGTGGAGACTTTTAAACAAACATAAATTTATGTCGATCTGCTTGTTCCAGTACAACAGTGCACTGACAAGCAAGTGCATGAAAAAGTTATGCCGTCATCCAGAAGACGATATATTCAAGAAAGAGGGAAAAGAGAATCCAGGAAACGAAGAAGAAGGAAAGAAAGAGGCTAAGGAAGAAGACGAGGGAGAGGAAAAGAAAGAGGATGAAAACAATGAGGAGGAAAACAACGACGAGGAAAACAAAGAGGAGGCAAACCAAGAGGAGGAAAACAAAGAGGAGGAAAATAAAGAGGAGGAAAACGAAGAGGAGGAAAACAAAGAGGAGGAAAACGAAGAGGAGGAAAACGAAGAGGAGGAAAACAAAGAGGAGGAAAATAAAGAGGACGAAAAGGAAGGGGAGGAGACGCATGACTAAAAACGAAAAGGAGGGGGAAGAAGTACACGAAGAATAAAAGATGACGAAGATGGTGGAGGTACACAGGACATTGAGAAAAAAAACTATAAGTCAGGCAAACAGACCCGCGAATAAACGTGTGGAACTCCTTTTTGTCTGGGGTGTTATGTTTCAATAAACAACCCACGGCGAACCCAACAGTTTTTTTATGGTATTTTAATAAACACTTGACGTTAGACATACGTTGATTCAAGATGGTGGCATTTATTTCGATTTCTTTAGATTTTTGGCGCATAGTGTGAGCGCTATTGTTATGCCTTGGTACCTTTACACACTCTAGGCTTCTATGTTCGGCGTATTTAACACACAGAGTGAGCACCGGATATATTCTATTTAGAAATCCGGAGACGCTTGTTCGGTATAGAAAACGAAGTGTTTTATTGTTGCAGAAGGTATTTATTCTTTTAACCTTCAAGACCATCGTTAGCGACGATATTACAGAAGATTTAACAGCTATAATGGAAAATATTTAAACAAGTTCAAAACAACGGAAGTAAGACAATACACAGAAGTCATGCAAGTATAAATTCAAGCAAAATTATACATTAAGCCTGTAAAATAAAGCTATATTATTAGGACTAGAAAGCAGCAGTAAGCAGAGGAAATCCACTTGGTTTACGAAATGTCTGGAACGACCTTTTTTCATTTTATTTAAGGGTTCTGCTGAAAAAGTAAAGTACAATATTCTCGAGCCGTTTGTTTTCACAAAATGCGACTCTTTCGGCCGTTATCAATAGTTAGATATTGCAGGTTGATCGCCAATATATAAATAACATGACAAATAAAAACTATCTTGTTTAAGCTTTTACAAAATATATATTATATGCACTCGAAGGCTTTGTTTCTGAAAAGCGTCATCATCATAATACAAGTCGCTCCACACTTGCACTCTAAAGAGATTTATAGTAAATTCAATCTAGCAAACTCGGCGGTTCAGTCTGTAAAGTTTTCTGAAGCACATGCGCTAGATAAATTGCTGCTGGACCGTGATGAGATACTCTACAGTTAGCCTGTTGAGCGTAGTTTAACTTCCGAAGAAATTAAGGACTGTAATATTTATATTTTGTATCTAACAAAACAAATTTTTTTAGATTTATACACCATTTAATCAAGTTGCATGACAGGATCGTCCCCATTCTTCAAATATTTCGTGGATATCCGATGTAGGCTATCAGTAGATAGAAGGAAAATAATTTAAATATCAAAGAAAAAATATCTTTCGATTACACCGCTAGGTCATAGTTTATTCATACAAATTAATTAACAAAAATTAGATATTAACATCCATCAAATAGTGATTTATATTTTTAATAGAAATTCGCTTTGTACACGTAGTTAATAAATATACGTATTAAAAGTATTGAGAAACTTGAACACAAGCACCTTTTGTCTGACCAAAAATACTACGGAAGTCATCTGACACCGATAATGATTATATGATAGGATCCATAGAGTATAACGTATTACGAGGCACATCGTCGGTAGATTAGAACATTAGAGGTTTAGTTGCTATGCGCCGTGCAACAGCAAATAAGAGACGCGATGAAAACGTTTATATGCAATTATATGTTACCTACGAAATTCTTCAAACTTTCACTGCCAGTACAAAAAAAAAATATCCACCAGACACTTAATTTAGGTTGAATAATTTGTGTAAACAATAATAAATATAAAGACAGACTGTTCTGTAATAGTTCCACTCGACAACGAATCGCCGAGCAAACCGTACTACCGCTAAAAAGTGGTTGGCGATACTATTGTATGCATAAACAAAATATATACATACGGGGGTGAATGCTTCAAAAAATAATTCACGCCTGAAAAACAAACGCAGCAGATGCTTACGCGATACTTAGCGAACATTGTGGAGAATGTTGGAAACGAGCAGTGTTCACCGTAAAGAATACCTCTTCGTGAGACCCGCGATGGTGCGTCCTAGTATCCACTCATATCGCGCCTTTATCGAGCGGTCCACCAGCGGGCGGTAAAGTCCCTTGATACTTCTTTTGGAGTAACGACAGCTAATACAAATGACAATGCACATTCCGCTGGAACAAAATGGCAGAATTCAGTTGAAACCTCTGCTGTGTGCCGCCATTCGCTTCCTAAAAACTGCACCGGCACGCAGTCGGCGCTTTAAGGAATGTCGCTACTTGTAGGAAGGTCTTATCTAGGGACTTTAGCGGGCGGAAGGAGTTGGAGCGAAACATATAAAATTACAAACCATTTCTTAACTCGGCGACGTAACGGCAAGCGTCGGGGCGGCGGAAGACGGCAGCAACCGTGGCTGCGCTGCAGAAACCGCGCAACCCGAGTGCAACACGAGCGCCAGCGCCGCGGCTAGAGTGAAAGCGAGAACTGCGTCTGATTGAGTGAGTAAGATGAGTTCACGAGTTCGTGAGTGAACCCTCGAAGCTAACAGCGGCCGTTAGGGTGAGGGTGAATCAGTCTTTAGCTTTTTTTGTTTTGAACTGGCTGTGAGCCTGTTCAGCCTAAAATACATTTGGTCGCCACACGACAACGCGACGCACGTGCACTGGCGCCAAATTTGAACAGGAGGCGTCCGCCATAAAATTGCTGATGCTCTACACGGCTTAAGTTTCTCCCTCTTTTAAATTTAGGTGACCTACAGGCGGTCACAGGGGGAGCTTCCCTGGATCTCGGAAATATCAGACAACGTTTCTGGGCCTGTAGCGTTTTTCCTCTTTTTCCGTTATAATTATCAGTGCATGATTCTTCTACTCTTGTCAATAAAACATAGAATGTTAACAAACCAAACACGAGGAAAAATAAAACAAAACATTTGTTGCCCCCTTTTTTGGACTCTTCTTTTACACTACGAAATTAGATTGAAAAGTTCGAGGAATCGCTGCTAGGAGAATTTTTGTTCCGAAATATTTTTATGTCACTGTACGGGCAACTATTTCGTACGAAATGACCAGAAATGTTAGATTGACATCCTAAAAAGTCTGGCTTTGACAAGCATTCTAGTCGAGCAGCCATGAACATTTTCAATAATGAATAAAAACGAAATACGAGCCGTCATCAAATATTTTATTTAGAGAAAAAGTTCGACCGATATTGAAGCCGGGTTGAATGCTGTTCTTGAAGAATCATCACCTTCATTTTCCACTGTGAGTTTCGGTGTTTCCGAATTCGAGCGCGGTCGTACAGACAAAAGTGATGAACCGCATTCAAGACGTCCAATAACAGCTACCATACCAGAAATTGAGGAAAAAATCCATTACTTGGTTTTGGAAGACCGCCTCATAAAAGTGCGTGAAATTGAGGAAGGAATAGGGAATCTCTTCCGAGCAATTTTTTCATATCTTACACAATGAATTGGGATTGAAGAAAATTTCTGAAAAACCGTTGCCACGCTTGCTCAGCAGGATCAAAAACGCATTCGACCCCGAACGTCAGCCGACAGTTTGCTTGTGTTTCAGGCAAATCCAACGGATTTCAAGCGACGATTTGTAGCTATGGGCGAAAAAAAGGTCCACCATTACACGCCAGAAACAAAACATAAATCGAAGCAATGCACTAGGCCTATTGAATCGGCTCCGAAGAAGGAACGGCCATTAAGTGGGTAGGCAAGGCGATGGCATCAGTTTCTTTTGAAGACACGGGAAGTTTGCGTATTACTTAACTTGAAAAACAAAAAAAACTGCTGCTAGCCAACACTAAATAACGCTTTGGGACAAGCTGAAACAAGTAGTTCAAGAAAAATACGCGGGAATGGCCAAGAATCAGGTGTTGTTTTTAAACGACCACCCGCCCATTCAAGTGCAGTCGATCAGCAAAATCTAACAGAACTGAAGTTCAAAATCCTTTCGCATCCACCGTATTCACATGATTTGGCTCCCTCGGACTTCCACCCATTCCCGAAGCTCAAGACTTTCCTGGCTGGAAATAAATTTTGGTCGAATGAAGAGGTTGTAGGGGATGTGAACAATTGTTTTGGGGATCTCAAAGACAGTCACTTCCGGGAGAGAATCGAAAAGCTGGAGAAACCCTGAACCAAGTTGTTCGAGCTTCAGGGTAATTATGTCGAACAATGAAGTATAACTTAAATCAGATATATATTGTTTTTTATTGTCATTCCGGAAACCGTTCAACCTGCCCTCCTATATGTAGTCGTCTGATTTGCACTCCCAGGATTTGACCACGTCTCTTTCCTTGGCTGAAACTATCATCCGCACTGTTTTCGAAAGTAAAGCATCCTTATGGCGCATGTAAGGGGAGAGGCTGGCTTCAAAAATATGTTTTAAAAAACTTGTATAATCAGGATGAAATTTGCAGTAGTATTTAGGGTCAGATAAAGGGGCGTTGTGCAAACTGAGTTTTCTCTTGATATACAACTTGTACGATCAAAATGAAAATTGCAGTGGCATTTGGGATCAGATAAAGGGGCACTGTGCAAACTTTGAGTTTTCTAAGGCAATCTTCTTAGAAAATAGAATTTTTGTATAAAGCTTTGTCGCCATTTCGTAGTGTATCTATGGCATGCAGGTTAAGTAAGTACGCTACAGTTTTATTGCATGAATACAAATTAAGGGGTTTAGAACTTGAGGCTAACCAGGTTGTACTTTTCAAATTTATATATTTGTGAAAGAAAAATACCCCCATTAATGGTCCGCATTTTGTATCTATGGTGATTTGTCAATACATAATTTTTTCTTGGTTGTGTCTTTAATTTAGTGCTAAATGAAGTGGATCACTATATTCCCGATCTACTTTGAAGCCTTAGACTGCACGGCATTATCAGACTGCTGCACCTAGTGACCTTTAGGTTTAGCCTTTTTAGAAATGGACCCTTCTAAAGCTCTTAGAGCTTTGAACGAGCCTTTTTGAATTCGAGCTCGATGCAGAATTTGAACACATTGAGTGAAACAACCGTCTCCACCGCTTTTCGAGAAGAGGAGATCGACTTTAGACACAACCTTTACAGTCTAGAGCAGAGCACTGAATAACTCGTTTATATGTCGAGTCTTCATTCTGGCACATCTCGCGAGAAGGTCATACCACGACAAACGCTTTTAGCGAATTTCCCTAGAGAAGGCG